CTGGATAGGCAGTCCTTCAAAGAGGACATATAGATAGCCAATAGACAGATGAAAAGATGTTCAACATCACCAATGATCAGAGAAAGGCAAGTTAAAACCACAAAGGCAAGTTAAAATCACCTCATACCTATCAGAATGGCTATCATCAATACACCAACAAACAAGTGCTGGCAAGGATGTGGAGAAAAGGGAACCCCTGGGCACTGTTGGTAGAACTGTAAATTGGTACAGCCACTATGGAAAATTGTATGAAGGGTCCTCAAAAAATTAAAAATAGGACTATTATATGACTCACTAATTCCATTTCTGGATGTTTATCTGAAGAAATCCCAAACACTAATTTGAAAGATATATTCACCCTTATGTTCACTGCAGTGTTATTTACAATAGCCAAGATGTGGAAGCACACTGTGTCCATCAACAAACAAATGCATAAAGAGGTGTATACGTGTGTGTGTGTTACTGTTCCATAAAAAGAATGAAATCTTACCATTTGCATCAACATGGATGGACCTAGAGGGTATTATGCTAAGTGAAGTAAGTCAGACAAAGTCTGACTTGAATGTCACATGAACTCTGAAATGCGCTCAGCTGCAGATGTGTTTGAGCACCTTCTTTGCAGCTCCCACGCATTCGAGGATTTCCCAACCCACTCTAGCATCAGCCAGGAGCTGCTCTGAGGTCCAGGCGGCTGTGGTGAGGCTTGTTAAAGCTCCTGAGGCCTGGCTGAGAGGAGCCTGGCACTGAGATCAGTCTATTACCAGAAAAGTCACCTGTTAGGTACACATCACACTGACCATCCCTGATTTCAGAGTCAGGCTGCCTTTCCTACATTATTAAGGTGCAAATACATTATTTGTGGCGAGCTGTATGTTTCTGTGTATAGATTTATTTCTGTGCTTATTTTTTAGCTTCTGAGTCCCTCATCCCCAGCTGTCGACTTCTACCCAACACGGTGCTGTTGGTCCTAACCTGAGATTTCAGGCAACATGGCTTTCTAAACTTGGCATACCCTGAAATCACAGGTTCCCAGTCCTTATGCTTTCTCTGCATAGGTCTCCTTTTAACTTTATATTTGACCAGATCATAGCTTCTCCTTTGTTTATATCTTATCTCTTCTCAGACCCCCATCCCATTCCACTGAATTTCTCAAGCATTGACTGAACACCCACTGAGGTCAGACACTAGGGAAGCACTTCAGAGTTTGTTTGCAAAGAAGCATAAAACAAAGTCTCTATTCTCAGAGAACTTCCAATCTAGTCATAAAAAAAAAAGACAAACACAGAAATAACCATGAAAAATGTGTTATGGCCTCCTAACATGGAGATGACGTCGGATGGGAGGGAGCAGCACACTGGTTTGGGTGGGAGTAGGTGATATTTGAGGTGGGTCTCACCGGGTGTGTAGGAGTTTAACACGTGGGCTTGGTGAAAGGCATCTGTGGGAGCAGGAAGTGTAGAGCAAAGGCCGTAAGGTACAAGCAGGGGTGTATGTCTGATTTCTCACACCTGCTCCATCAGGTCAGGTTTTGTCGGCTGCAAGTGACAGAAAAACAATGAAAAGCTGTTTATTACTAAGGGCATTTATTATCTCCCGTATCAAGGAATTGGTCCCAGGGTTGGGCCATTTAGCAGCTCAATACCAGGCCTCTGTCAGCACCTCTGCCGTTCCCGTGGCCTCCCCTCTCATGGTCTAAGGACAGCCTCAGAAACTCTAAGCATCCCATCCTCACACAAAGTTCCAAGGCAGAAAGGGACATGTTTCAGGGATTCTTTTCACAAGTGAGGAACCTGTCCCCAGAAGCCGCAGCACACGTCCCTCTATCCGCCAGGACAGCACCCCGTGTTCATGCCTTGGTGGATCACTGGCATTGGGGACTGGAACTGACTTAAACAAGTCAACATCCACCTCCAGGACCTGGGGAAGAGTTTGTGACGCACTGGGCTGCCAGGTACCAGCACAAGGGGACATCTGAAGTCACAAAGAAGAGGGAGTTTCTGCCCTCACCTGTTTGCTCTCTCACATCTTTGTAAGCCTTTGCACAGACAATTCCTTCTACCTGGGGTGCCATATGGACACTTCAACCTGCCCACCAGGAGCCCCCACACTGCTGTCCACTCCCCTAACCACACTGAATGATAGCACGTATTCTATCGTTGGCCAGCGCCACTGGATTCTAAGCATGTGGAGAGCATTTTTTGAATCTTGCTGTGTCTAGTGAGGTGCCTGGCCTATATTAGGTGTTCAGCATATGTTTGTTGAACTGAATAAATGCTGGGTGAATACATGGATGGGTGAGTGGGGGAAATGAGACTAGATGATGGAGGTGGAGGGAGGTACCATTTGAGGCAGGTTGCTTAGAGTTTATAGGTAGTTTTATACCTCTTCTCTCTTGCATCTCTGTGTACCCATTGACCAAACCCCACAGCAGATGATGGGGTAACTGGTACCAGGCAGTTCAAACACCACCTTCAATAAGCTGATGTAACAGAGACAGGTGAGCAATTTCTAGGCTGTAACTTGAGAGAATGTGAGTAAGCCAGGCCAGGAAGGGAAAGGGAGGGAAGGAGAAGTCCTCTCTGTAGAAATTGATGAAATATTCTTGGCTATTTAGTAGAATCTCAGATGCACTCTATTCACTGACACCTTGACAATTCAGTTTTTGATTCCAGGTAACAAGTCGTAACAAATTGATCACAGCCACAGACCCAGTGAAGTTAAGTATCTTTGTGTAGAATAAAGCTTCTTTCTCTTGATAAACCCTAAGCAAGAATGTGCAGCCAATAAAGCCACTTGGAGATTTTATTAAATTCCCATCTTAACTAGACAGACTGCAGGCAGTGGGGGTATAACTATTACCCCCCCCCCTCCAATAGAACCCAAGCAGGAGGGATCCCAGGTTCGGGGGAAGGAGCATCAGTACCTCACCCTCAGCTGTGTGGTGTGCTCTCCTTATTCCCATGTTCAATCAAAATTCCCCCCTCACTAATTCTGAGCAAAGCAAACACATAAGTAGGTCATATGAACAGTTTCACTTTTGTCCTCTTGTGTGTCAACCACCTTCAGCATTCAGGGAGTTGAGGAATGTTACATAAAAGGAAATGTGAAAACGGAGGTTGTGTCTTCAGCATTAGATTTGTGTTGTGGTTAAAAACTCATCCTCTCCAGCCATAAAGAACTGAGTTCAAATTCTGACTCTGACACTTATGAACTTTCAATATTGAGCCAGTTATATCCTACACCTCCCTGATTCTGCATGTGTTTCTCTGTAATAAGAAGCTAACATTAGCACTTCCCTCACGGGGCTATTGTGATGCATAAAAGCCATCATGTGTGGAGACAAATGGAAGGTGACTGTTTCAGTGATAGCATGCAATAAATATTGTCTTTTATTTTTTTTTATTCTCATAATTAAAAAGAAAGTGTACTTCTTTGAAAACAAGTGGGGTAAAAAACAAACAAACAAATAAAAGACTTCTTGGAGAAAATGGGTGATTTTATTTCATCCAGAACTGTATGACTTCAGTCCTCAAGAAAGGTCCTCCCAGAAAGAGGGACAAAACAAAGCCACCACCAGAGAGTGAGGCTGATTGTTTTGAAAAGATCATACGATTGGAAAAGAAAACCTAATCTGCTCCATGAAATTGAGCTACAGATAGATAATAAGTCTCATCGTGGGACAGTGGTCAGAATACTGACGGTTGAAAAATAATTCATCATAGCTCAAAAATATACATTCAGGTGCTTTGTCAGTATCCATCTCGTCTCTCTGTGTCACCGTGGCAGCGGATCTGCTTCGTTCACTTACTGATAGCAGAAAGAGGAAAAGTTTTTGTCATCTCCAAGCTGAGCGCTCAGGGGGCCAGCACAGCCCTCCCTGGAAGATGGCACAGGCACGCGGGTCCCAGCCTCACGCATCCTCAGCGGAATCCAGGACTGCAGGCAAACTCCCTGATTCCTCCTGGCCCCTGGGATGAGCAGCAGAGTGAGGGAGGAGGGCTCTCCTGGTTCCGAGGGAGGGCTGGAGCGGCTCCCCAAAGCTTCCTTCTTCCCTGGAATAACAGGGACCCCTGTGAGCCTGGCCATCGGAGAGCTGGCAGCCCAGTCCAAATGGCAGAGTGGAGGCACAGCTCCACGGAAGTCCAGGGCCCACCCAGGTGAACGGGGTCAAACCTATGCACGTGCCTCTTCCGTGCACACCTGCCCCGGGAACAACCCTGATCCTACGTAACTGCGCTCGCAGCAGGACCCACTAGAACACGCACAGACTCTGGGCTCCTGGAGGCAGGAGCGGGATCCTAGCTGGTCTGGTCCCCACGTGACCTAGCGCGGCGCCAGGCTCCTAAAAATTCTCAGTGCGCGCGCAACGAGCTAACGGAACAGAACTGAAGGGCGGGGCCAGGGAAGAAAGGGGGCAGGGTATATGTCCTCTGAATCTTTTGTAATTGTTGAAAAGTATTACAGATGTCCCCCTTTTCCCCCCATTGACCCCCTGCTCCCCGCCTGCTTTCCCCAACCTAACGTCTGTGTCCATTGGTTGTGCATATCCCTCTGAATCTTTTTGAGGTGGACACATCACTACTGACACCTCCAATAAAACAACTCAGTCCTTGATGTATACCATCATCACCTGAGCAGCTTTTGAAAGTGGTAACTGTGAATGCGGCATGAACCATTTCCCGCACACCTTGGCGGGAATTGGTAAGTTGCCAGAGAACCGTCAGCTGCGCGCGGGCTCCAGCGGAGACTGAGCTGCCCGGAGAAGCCCGGCGAGGCCACGCCCCGTTCCCCCCAGGGAAACGCACAGCCCCGGCGCCAAGGCCCCGCCCTACTCAGACGTCACAGCGAAGACCACGCCCAGCAGCGATACCACCCTGGACACCGTTAGAATCTGCGGATTGTTAACGCAATTTGAGTCAGGGGATTGTTGTGTCAGGTACCCGAACTCAAAACGGAAAGTACTCACTGTCCCTCAGGCTTCCCACTGATGTCCCGAAAAAATGACGGTGTCTTACGAGCTTCTCAGGGTCCCTTCCCGCCGCCTCGAGAGTCCCCTTTCTTGGTGCATTTTTGGGATCCTTTTGGGGGCCCTAGAGCTCCTGCTACCCATCAGTTCCGGTAGGGAACAGGAATGGGTGTTAGCTCTGGAGGTGAACCAGAGCGGGTTGGGGAACTGGCCCGCCGGAATGGAGAGGGAATTTTGCCTGGTGGGTTGGGTTGGAGGCGCGGGGCTTGGCGGACCGGGGTGGTGAGGAGACGGGGTAGATGGCCTAGCCACAGATCCTCAGGGTTGTGTTGTGGAGGATCCAGGACAGTAGGGTCCGGTAGGGCCCGTGGTTAGGGTTGTTTGGTGACTAAGCACTGAGCCTTTTGGAGTGCTGGGCGCACTCAGTGTTTGCCAGGGCCCAGCTGTGTCCCTAGCAAAAGCTTTCAGGTATTTGGGGACTGAACCAATCAGAATGGTAAGAGATTAACCATAGAACATATATGCATAGCTCATGGACACAGACAATAGTTTGGGGAAGGTCTGGGGTGGGGCAGGGAGTGGGTGGAAAGGGTAAAGATGGGGAAAATTGGTGACATCTGCAATAATGTCAACGATAAAAAAATTAACCGATTAGAATATTGACAGAGGACAAGAAAAGACATATCTCCAAGAAGACATACTTATGGACAACAGACATGAAAATATGCTCAATATCATTCATCAACAGGAAAATGGAAACCAAACCACATTGAGATACCACATCAACTGCAGTCAGGATGGCTATGTTCGAAATGTCAACAAATAACGTGTTGGCGAGGATGTGGAGAAGGTAGAACCCTTGTGCACGGTTAGTGGGACTGCAAATTGGTGCAGCCACTATAGAGAACTATATGGATATTCCTTAAAACACTAAACATAGATCCACAGTACAACCCAACAACTCCAATTCTGGGTATTTAACTAGTACAAAAAAATATGTGCACACATATGTAGCATTACTTGTAATAGCCAGGATATGAAAGCAAACTAGGTGCCCATCAGTAGATGAATGGATAAAGAATTTTTGATAGCCCTGGGCCGATTTGGCTCAGCCATTAGAGCGTCCGCCCGCGGACCAAAGAAAGAGTCCCGGGTTGGATTCCGGTCAAGGGCACTGTCTGGGTTGCTGTTCTGTCCAGGTCCTGGTTGGGGTCCAGTGGGAGGCAACCAATTGATGTGTCTCCCTCACATCGATGTTTCTCTCTCTCTCTCTCTCTCTCTCTCTCTCTCTCTCTCTCTCTCTCTCTCTCCCCACCTCCCACTTTTTCTGAAGATACATGGAAAATATCCTCAGGTGAGGATTTTAAAAAGTTTTTTTAAAAAAAGAATTTGTGATATATGTACATAGAATATTACACTGCAATAAAAAAGAATGAAATATTGCTACTTGCAACAACATAGATGGACTTAGAGGGTATTATGCTAAGTTAAATAAGTTAAAATGAGAAAGGCAAATACTATATGATTTCACTTATATGTGGAGTCTAAAAAGGAAAAACAAAAAAAGGAACAAACAAAATAAAAACAGACTCATAGAAACAGTGACTAAAGGGATGGTTGCCAGAGAGGAGGTGAATGGGGGGATGCATGGCAAAGGTGCAGGGGAATATAGTCAATATTTTTGTGATAAGTTTTCAGTGACAGATGATACTACAATTAGTAAGATGATCTCATAGTAAGGTATAAAATTTTCAAATCATTATATTGTATATCTGAAATTAATATACTCAGTATAATATTATATATCAACAATACTGAAATTAATAATAAAAAAAAGAATAGGAAAAACCTAAGTAGAGTGATTACCAGTAAGGTGAAACAGTAATCAAAAACTTCCCCTTGAACAAAAATCTAGGCCCAGATGGCTTCACTGGTTAATTCTGCCAAGCATTTAAAGAAGATTTAACACCAATCTTTCTCAAATTCTTACAAAAAATTGAAGAGGAGGGAATACTTCCAAATTCATTTCATGAGGCCAACTTTCTTCCGATAACAAAACCAGGCAAGGACAACACATACAAAAAAAGAAATAATGTATAGGCCAGTATCCCCGATGAACATCAATTCAAAAATCCTAAACAAAATACTAGTGAAAAGAATACAAGTATACATTAGAAGGATCACATATCATGATCAAGTGAGGTTCATTTCGGGGATGGAAGAATGGTTCAACATTCACAAATTAATCAATGTGATGTACCACGTTAACAAAATAAAATATAAAGTCCACATGATCCTTTCAAGATGCAGAAAAAGCATTTGACAAGATACATCTATCACTAAGACAATAAAATGGGTAGAGAAGCAAAGTATCTCAACATAAGAAAGTCAAGATATGAGAAACAGTCAGTTAATGTCATGCTCAATGGTGAAAAACTGAAAGCTTTTCCTCTAAAATTAGGAACAAGGCAAGGATGCCGATTCTCACTACTGTTATTTAACATAGTACTAGAAGTCATAGCCAGAGAAAATAAGGAAGACAACTAACTAAAAGGCATCCATATTGGCATTGAAGAAGTGAAGCTGCCACTATTTGCATATGACCAAGTTCTGTACATTGTAAACCCTAAAGACTTCACCAAAAGACTATTAGAAAAAAATGAACAAATACAGTAAGTTGTAGGATACAATATCAACGTACAAAAAATCCATTGTGTTTTTATATATTAACAAAAAAATTTGAGAAAGAGAAATAAAACATTCCTATTTACAATTGCAACAAACAATAAAATACCTCGAATAAACTTGACAGAGGATGTGAAGGACCTTTATACTGAAAACTACATTGTCAAAAGAAATCAAAGAAGACAAAGAAATGGAGAGATATTTCAGGTTCATGGATTAGAAGATTTAACATTAAAATGGCCATAACCTAAAGCAGTATACAAATTTAATATAATCCCCATCAAAATCCCAATTGCATTTTTTTCAACAACAACAAAAAATAGAACAAAAAATTATCAGATTTTATGGAACTACAAAAGACACCTGAATAGCCAAAGCAATCCTGAGAAAAAAGAACAAAGTTAAAGGTATTGTAATAGGGAATAAAAACTTTATACTTTTCTGACTAACCATGAAATGGAATTAGAATAAAATGTACTAACAAGCTGTTAAAAGAAATTCACAAATTGACAGTTCCTTATGAGCATATTGGCAGGCATCAGCAGTTCAGTTCCTGCTTGTATAAGAAACAGCCTTGATCACGAATTCAGCTGATGCAAGTTGCCCAACTGCAGGAATTTGGCTGGCACTGACCAGTTCCAGTATGCTAACATTAAAGATCCATATCCAGCCCTGGCTGGTGTCGCTCAGTTGGTTGGGCATCATCCCAGACACCAAAGGGTTGCCTGTTTGATTCCTGGTCAGGGCACATGCACGGGTTTCAGGCTTAATCCCCAGTTAGGGACATGTGGGAGGCAGCCACTAGATGTTTCATTCTCGCATAGACGTTTCTCTCTCTCTCCCTCTCCCTTCCCGTCTCTCTAAAAATCAATCAAATTATTTTTTTAAAGATCCGTATTGGGACCGACAAGGACACTGCCTGCATGTCCACAGCCCCTCCTCCCGATCTCTTTGTTCTGCTTTTTCTCTCTTTTCCTATAAAACCCCCTGCCTGCACTGAGATGCTAAGCTGGACTTTGTGACGAGTTCCCCATCTTCTCAGGTGACTAGCCCTTGAATAAAACTCATTTCTTTTTACCAGCATCTGTCTCATGAGTTTGATTTTCATGGCAGCAGGCAGTTGAACCTTGGTTCTGGTTTCAGTATCACACTCCCTGACTTCAAACTATGCTACAAAGCTAAAATAATCAAAACAGTATGGCATTGGCAGGAAAACAGACACACAGACTAATGGAACAGAACTGAGAGCACACAATGATCCCACACATATGTGTACAACTAATTTTTGACAAAGGAGCAAAAAACAGACAATGGCAAAAGAAAAGTCTCTTCAATAAATGATACCGGAAAAACTGGAAAGTCACATGCAAAAGAACGAAACGACGTCTATGTGATACCATACACAAAAATTAACTCAAAGACTTGAAAATAAGACCTGAAACAATAAAATACATAGAAGAAAACATAACTATTAAACTTATGGGCCTTGGTCTCAGAAGTGTTTCTGTGAACTTGACCCCAAAGGCACAAGAAGGAAGAAAGGAAATAAATAAATAAATGAATAAATAAATAAATAGGACTACATCAAATTCAAAAGCTTCTGCACAGCAAAGAAAACTGCCAATAAAACAAAAAAACAACCAAGTGAATGGGAAGAAACATTTGCAAAAAATACCTCTGATAAGAGGCTAATTTCCAAAATATATAAAGAACTCATACAGCTCAACAACAACAAAATATGATTAGACAATGGGCAGAAGTCTTCTTAGGAGAGAGGTGAGTGTGAAATGAATTCAGAAAAAAAAAAAAATGGGAAGGATGCATACCTATAAATATATTTTAAAACTAAAAATATTGCTGCTGTCTCTTCAATTTACTGTTGAAAGAATATTCAGCTTATTCCCAAAGAAATCAAAACCTAAAATGGAGTGTTATTTAAAGCAAGCCCAGCACATGGTCCAGTGAAAATGTGGCACAATCACTTAAACTCTTGCCACGGACCTTGCCATCTGCTCTGCACTACCTGCCTGCGGAGGCCATAATCCATGGCTGGTGAAAAAAGAGAAAACACTATATTTTTCATGTTCTTATTCTCTTATGTCCAGATGCCTGTGGTGCCCCACCGAGATTTAACTCTATGAAAGTCAAGGGTAATCCTGCAACCTCTTATAATACTGGGGACAAAGTAGAATATGAATGTCGCATAGGATTCAGGATTATTGTTCCTCCTCTTCCCACCTCGACTGTTTGTCAGGCTGATAACACGTGGACACCACCTCTCCAGGAGGCTTGTACAGGTAAGCACACACACTTTTTATTTTTATTGCTCTAAAGATTTTCACACATTTTAGACAGTCTATTCCACAACTGCAATGATGGTTTTCTCACGTGAATGTAGATTTTAGAGAGCAATGTATGTTTTCAGGCTTTGAAAATCTCCAGGAAACTTTTTATTTGGCTATTGATTCTCTGGGGCAATGCGAATCTTAAGTTCAGCCATTAGCGACAACATGGGTGGACCTTGAGAATATTATGCTAAGAGAAATAAATCGGTCAGAAAAAGTTAAGAACTATATGATTTCACTCATATGTGAGATATAAGACTGAAACTCATAGACATAGATAACAGTTTGGTGGTAACCAGAGGGAAGGGGGTGGGGTGGAGGAGTAGTAAAGGGTAAAGGGGGACCAAATATATGGACAGAAGATGATTTGACTTTGGGTGGTGGGCACACAATGCAATATACTGATCATGTATCACAGAAGTGTACATTTGAAACTTTTATAAACATACTAACCAATGTCATACCAATGTATTTAATAAATATAAATAAGAAAGAAGATATTTTCATGAATTTAATAGAGCAATGTAAAATTTTGATTTTGATTCAAATGTGTTTTGACATTGGTATAAAACAACAAATTGAAATTTTTCTTTTAGCAAAATCATGTCCACAGCTACCAGAACCTATAAATGGCCATAAGATCTATGCAAACGGAACTTTTGTGTTTGGCTCACAGGTTCACTTTTTTTGTGATGAGGGGTAAGTAAGTTGCTCCATAGAGGAATAAGGTAAATGTTACTAGTTCCACTTTTGGTTTGGTTCTCTTTTTAAGCATTCCCATAATGTTGATTTCATCTTGCTTTCTGTGTAACAAGTTGTACTTATAGCCAATCAACTCTTGGGCTTTTTATGAAAACTGAATAGAAAGAAATTTAAAGTGAAGGGAAGCAAAACTGTACAATACTATAAGTAATAATAAGCCCATCGTAGTTGTTAAAAATGTAGTAAATGTGGTGATATGGTCCTAAATTAAATTGTAGTAGGCCAGAGCGTGGGAAGGAGAGACAGGGAGTTAATCATTTAACAAAGCAAAAGGTAAAAACCAATGAAATATGTGTTGAAACTTGGAATCAACTTCCAGGGCTATTTTAGAACAGTGTTTTTTTAATTTTTTTTATTGATGTTTAGAGAGAGATGAAGGGAGAGGGAGAGAGAGATAGAAACATCCACGAGAGAGAACAATTGGCTGCCTCCTGCATGCCCCCCACTGGGGATTTGGCCCACAACCTGAGCACGTGCCCTAACCAGGAATCGAACCAGCGACCTCTTGCATGGGTCAACGCTCAACCACTGAGCCACTCCAGCCGGATCAGAATAGTGTTAATAGAAGAGCTAGTATATCTAATTCAAAACGGGAAGTTGACCACCAGATTTCACCTCATCTTCTTATACAGGAACTTTTCAGACTGTTGTCAACAAACAATTGAAAAGCAGCCAACACTTCTCCCAGCAGACTATGTATCTATCCCAGAACTAGCCCCACTTATTCTTCTTCTGCCTCCCTTATCTATAGCCAATATAAATTCCTTCAAAGTAACTTACATCTTTCTCCTCAAAACTACAAAGAACCCCATTAAAAACAGGATGGCAGAAATGCATGCCTTCTCCATCTATCCCTGCTACTGTTGGTTCAGCCTGCGGGCCCCAGGCCCTGGGTCTTTTTGTTTTTGTTTTTGGCCAGCATGTGGCTCAATAAACCTGTTCCTTCAGAAAAGCTTCTGGCTGTGGAGGCTTTTGTTTCACAACTTTATCTCCTTGTGGTCAGAGAGGATATTTTGTGTGATACCTATCTTTTTAAAACCTATTGATTAGTTCATGTTAATTCGTGGCTCAGTGTATGGTCTATCCTGGAAGATGTCCATGTGTGCTTGAGGAGAATGTATATTCTGTTCTATGGTGCTCTCAGTCTGTGAGGACTTCTAGTGTTGTTGAAGTCCTCTATTTCCTTACTTAGTTTTGTCTAGCTGTGCTATCTGTTATTGTGAGAGGGATACTGAAGTCTCTGACTATTATTTGAGAAATGCCTGTTACATAGACACGCGTATTCCTCTCTATAGTTACGTCCACTTTTGCTTCATATATATATTGAAGGTCTGTCATTTGGTGCATAAATGTTTATAATTATTATATCTTCTTGCAGTATGTAAAACTTGTTAAAATATAATGTGCTGCTTGTGTCTTATAACCCTTTTTTGATTCAAAGTGTATTTGTCCTGAATTAGTACAGCCACCCCAACCCTCTTTTGGTTGTAATTTGCATGGAATATCTTTTTCCATTCTTTCACTTTCAACTTGTTCATCTCTTTGGATTTCAGGTGAGTCTCTTGTAGACAGCATATAGTTGGACTTTTTGTTTTTATCCATTCTGCTCATTTCTGTCTTTTGATTGTAGAATTTAATCCATTTACATTTAAACTAATTACGGCAAGGAGGGAGCTATTTGTTTTCTTAAAGCTTTTTTTTTGCCCCTCTTTTCACACATTCCTGTTTTCTTTTGTTAGTTGATTTTTATAATGAAATGTTGGAATTCCTTTCTCATTTCTTTTTGTGTATATTCTACAGTGATTTTGTCCATGGTTCCCATGGGGATTACATTTAACATCCTATAGTTATAACACTACAATTTGAATTTATACCAACTCAAGTTCAATAACCAATAGTTGTTCTTTGGACTCAGGGTTTTGTTTTTGTTTGTTTGTTTGTTTTTATGGTTTATTTTTAGAGTTTCTACCTCCTAATTTATATTTCCATTTTATTCACATTTCCATTTTGTTCCATTGTTTTCTTCACTTTTTATATTTCTTTAATTCTTTGAGCATCTTTAAGAAAGTATTTTTTCCCCTCAAATTTTATTGAGGCTCCAGGGCCATCGATCTCCGGCAGGGGGCCCCTTGGCATGCAAGGGCGTAGGCTGTGGAGAGGACTCTTTTCAGCTTCTTCTTGCTCACAAGTTGTTGGTATGGCTGCACTTCTTGTCATCACTGACAGCAGAGAGGTGTAGGCAAGCACGATACTTGTAGCACATCACCTCGTGGCCAGTGTATTCCTGGGGAGCTTGTGGAGGAACAGATCACTGATGCCACCCCATAGGTGAGGTTCCAAGTGCAGAGTGGACTATTTCTGGATATTGTAGTCTGACAGAGTGTGGCGCTCCTCCAGATGTTTGCACATAACCATCAGATGCTGTTGGTCAGGAGGGAGGCACTCTTTGTCTTGGATTTTGGCTTTGACATTCTTAGTAGTACCACTGGGCTCAACCTTGAGAGTGATGGTCTTGTCCATGAGGGTACTCACAAATACCTTCATCTCTGCAACTGCCACTCAGCTGCCTGATGAAGAAAAAGTGGACTATGGAACTGGGAAACTACAGATTTGGCACCAAGAGGGTCTACAAAAACATGCAAAAAAAAAAAGATGTTTTTGTCTTGTATCCTCTTAGGTCCTTTTCGGGAAGAATTTTTGTCTAATTTTTCCTTTGAATGGGCCATACTTGCCTTTTTTTTCTTTGTATGCTTTGTAATTTTTTGTTGAACTGGACATTTGTATCTAATAATGAGATAATTCTAAATATCAAATGCTTACCATTTCTTAGGGTTTGTTGTTTTATGTTATCGTTTTTGTTTTTTAATTGTGGAAGGACCAGGCTGAGGACCAGCCTGGTATGTAAACTGAGCCTTTTTCTGGGCATGCGCATTCATTCTTGTGGTCCCCCTTTAATGCAGTTGTTTTTAAAGGTCACAGTTTTTAATGTTTGCCTCCTGAAAGGGAAAAAGTGAAAAATGAAGGAGGGAACGATTGTTGTTGGATCTGTAAATGCCCTGGCAGGATGGGTCTTGCAACTCTGGGGAAAGTGAGACAACAATGGCCGTTCTCCTCTCCGTCTGCTTCTCTGTGATGAGAAACAGCAATTATAAGAGCACAGATCCCCAAGGACATGGTCTTTTGTGCACACCCCGGGCCCCTCAGAGTGCTCATAAGCTGCTCCAAGAACACGTGCACAGCGGCCTGCTGTGGAAATGGGGTGGATAACGGCCACTGTGCTGAGAGCTGAAATTGACCAATATTAGTGCAATTTACCTTTCCAAGTCTTTCCTGGAAGTTGCAAGTCTACAACACACTCCAAGTTTCCAAAACAGGTACATCAGGCAGATTCTAGCAGTGAAATTGTTGGGGAGACATGTTTTTGATGCTTTCTACCCTGCCATCATCCCAGAATTCTCTCCTAATATATTATAATATAAAATCAATGAATGAGCTTTGGAGGGAAAGTCAGATGGAAGCACATATAAGCAGTTTTACTGACTGTATTTTAATTTTATCAAGTGGGAATATCCAGTCCATAGTTATATAGAGAGAGCCTACTCGGCACCTTGTAGAGTATGAAAAGGTTAAGACACAGACCAACGATTTTCCACTGGTTTGTGCAAGAATTTTTAAAATATGCAATACCAGACTAGTCAGGGGCAAATTAGATTGTCAAATTAAAAAGTGACAACAGCCAACACAACAATAGCCATCCAGTATGAATGAATCAAAATTATACCTTTTTTTTTTATCAGATGGGCAAAAAATATATTTTTTCGTGTGCTTCAGAATTTTAGTAATTAGTTTATGTGTGCCATGAGATGAAACTGGTTGAAAATCGCTGACATAGATTGTTCTCAAAGAAGTTTTAGCCTTTTTGAGAAGCCAATACATACAGAGAGGTATCTGAGAAAAATAGTAAGTAAGAAGTACCACAGAAATCGACTTAGTCATGATCACTATAAAGAAAATACAGAGAAGAAGAGAGTTGTGTGAATTTAAATCATCAGAGATTTCATGGAGTAGGGGGTCTTCCTGAGCTATACCTAGGACGATACTCTAATCTGAAGAATATTCATGCACCAGACTCTTGCCTGGCACTCACAGTGTTCCACATGCTAATTCGCCTACTACTCAAAACAATCCCACAGTGTATATACTTTTTCCGTAGATGTGGGATTTAAGAAAAAGAAACATTAAGGGACTTGCCCAAGCTCAAAAACAAGTCAGTCTTGTTGCTGGGACTCAAATCCAATCAGATAAGCTCTATTCAGTTGTTGTCCCCATTGAGCAGAATGGCATGAGCAAGGACATAGGAGTGAATGTGTGATGTGACTGCTGGAGGTAGCAATCACTTGGCTGTCAGGTATGACAGATTTATTTAGACATTTTGCTCTAGGCCAATGTGTAGTTATATGAAGAATCTCTTTCTTTCATTAAATTGCAGATTTAGTCAACACATTCAATACATATCACTTAAGAAATTCTCCCTGAAGCTACTGTAGTGCAGAAAAACAACCATATAACAAATTCTTCATTATTATGGGTTCTTGTGAACTGATAAAGAAAACAATCATCATTTCTTTTCTCATTTAGTTATTACTTACTTGGAACAAAAATTTTATATTGTGAACTTGATGGAAAAAATGTGGCCTGGAATGACAATCCCCCACGGTGTGAAAGTAAGTATATTCTCCCTGTGTGAAAGTAAGTGTATTTTTCCAGTAGAATGTAAAGCATAGTTCTCAAATTTTTTAGTCTGGGGACCCCTTCATGCTTTACAATTAACAAAGACCCCACAGAGTTGATGCTATTGATATTCTCTATATTGGTATTAGAACAGAGAAGTTTTAAAAATAATTATATATTAATTTATTTTAAAGAACAATACACGTTAACACATGCAACTTTTTTTTCCCTTTCATAAAATCAGAAATTTCCAAAACAGTGAGAAGAGTGTCACTGCTTTACATTTTCCTAATCTCTTTAGTATCTGTCTTAAGGAAGACCTCCAGATTTATTCTGCTGCATTATCAAACAATCCGAAACCACTGGAAAATTTCACTGTACACTCTTAAGGATGATAGTGAAAAAAAAAACCACAATAAAATCTTGGTATACCGGTGAACCATTGATTTAGGAGTGGACATGGCATTTCTCAACTAGCACTGAGTTTTCCTAAATCATAAGAATATTTTTCTCTTTATATTTTCAGCATCTCTTTTGATTAGAAAAACACTTAGCATGGCCTTACAGATAAATACAAGTTTTCATATAGGTATCTTATATGGGTATTTAAGAAAATGGGTTTTATTCTAAAATTATTTTTCTCTATTAATAGTTTGAATTGGGATAATACATTTTTTCATAGAAACTTTGTTTCAAATGAATACGGGATTTACAACTAGATTGTAGAAATCATATGTTAATAAATGTATTGAAGGCAGTTAATAGGACATTACTAATGTTGTCTTAATCTTATACTTTTTCTTTTGTCTTTCCTGTCATTTTTCTCTCTTTAAGAGGTGTTGTGTCAACCACCTAAACAAATACCAAATGGAATGTACACCAATAGCCACAAGGATGTATTTGAATATAATGAAGTTGTGACTTATAGTTGTAATCCTTCAAATGGATCAGATCAATATTCACTTGTTGGAGAGAGCAGGCTTGTTTGTTCTGGGCCTAACAAATGGAGTGGTGATCCTCCTGAATGTAAAGGTAATAATATTGTAATTTATTTTCCTCTCATTTGTAAATAGTGTGGAAACTTTTACCAACTTTCAAATACTTTGGCCAACAAGTAAAAAGAAAGAAAGAAAGAAAAAAGAAAGAAAGAGCCAGCCATATGTGTTTGTTCCCTCTGTTAAATTGGTTTCTAAATTAATTTAATGTGTGTCAAATCAAATAAAAAATAATTCTACTTGTAGAGTTTCCCACTCTTTACTCCACATGTTCTTAGCATTCCTGTTTATACATTGTTAATTACTATGTATATACATGAATTATTATGATGATGATGATGATGATTTTTGGCTTAAAAGCATTAAAAATACACACTGGCTTTAAGAAAGTTGTATCTTATATAATACAATAAGTATGACAGTTCTGACTAGAGAAGACGGTAGAATAAGTTGTAAAAGATTAACCCTCTCACTAATAAGGTTGATAAATAGACATATAAGCATATCCTGTTTAATTGTACTTTGCTTTATTGAGCTCCACACATATTGCAGGTTTTTTTGTTTTTTTTTGCAAATTGATAGCAATACCATCACCTGCAAAACAATTGTAACTTGCTTTACTTCAATATTCACTTATTGCGTAGTCTGAAACAAACCCACAGTATCTCAGAGGTTTACTTATACTTAAAAAAAAACAATGTTTAAGGCATTTGAACATGACCAAAAGCAGAGAGACGCCAGAAGTTATTTGACTCTTGAATAAAAGGAACCACTGAAAAATAGCAAAATATTTTCTCTTTCCAAGTGCATATGGAACAATCTTTAGTACCGTATTCTAGGCAATATGTTTAATTTTTTTTAATTTTAAAAATTGAAATTATTTATAGTACAGTATCTTTACAATGGAATGAATATAGAAATCAAAACAAAGATATTTGTAAAATCCCCAAATATTTAAAAATTATGAAGACACTTCTAACTAACCCATGAATAAAAGAAGGAGTCACAAGGGAAATTAGAGAGTGTTTGAATTGAGTAAAAATGAAAACACAATATATTGAAATATCAAAATTTGTGGAATAGAGCTAAAGCATTGCTTAGAAGGACACTCACAGCATGAAATACATATATTAGAACAGGAGAAAAGTTGAGATCAATACTCTAAGCTTTCACTTTAAGGAACTAAAAAGGAAGAGCAAATTGAATACAGAACATAGACACAAAAAGAAATAACAAAGATAGAAAAAAGATACAGTCTTTTTTTTTTTTTTTTTTTTAACATTCTGCCTTCCATACCGTGCCTCTTTCTTCACAGGGGAAATTACTATTTTACACTAGTTTTTCTTTCCCATGTTAAAATAGCTTTCCATTAATTCTGGAATTTCTTTGCTTTTCAGTAATCAAATGTGCATATCCAGTAATAAAAAATGGGAAACTGGTGTCAGGAATTGCGAAAAAATTTTACTACAAATCGTTGATTACGGTTGGCTGCCTGGCCGGATTTCACCTTAAAGGCAGCAACACTGCTGTATGTGGACTTAACGGTACTTGGGAGCCTAAGTTACCAGAATGTATTGCAGGTACAAAGGGTGTCTTTTTTTCTTTTTTGTTTAGATTTTATTTCTTTGACATTAATTATCAGTGATAAGGAATAATTGAAAAGAAGCAGTTTTTGTAATTAACTCTATCTCATATTCATTTCCATGACAGATGTGTGACATAAAATTTTGTTTTTATAGGTTCTTAGCACATTATGTACATCACACAGGTGTTTAAATTTCTGTGTTTGTGTGTTGGCATTTCTTATGTGTAAAAATGTATAGCAGTTATTTTTTTTAGAGTAATCGAAGCATGGGAATTTTTACCTAAAAAAGTCAAGATCTAAAGGCATAATTAATACAAATGAAAAAAAAAGTAATAATTACCAAGTGGTTGATCCCGTCTTCGTTTTTGTTTTGTTTTTTTCAGTCAACACCTCTCAGTACTAAACCAACAATTTCTAGTGTCTCGGATTTAGTAACGTTCTGCTTATATTTTTCAAAAGCCTTTAAATGCTGGTGATTTCCTTTAAGTCCGTTAAATATCTGGTGATTTACACACATTCATCATTTTTAATAATAAAAGGAGGAAGAACATATTTAAAGCCATTCTAGTTGTTTTACTTAGTGATTCTCAAACTATTGGCCACAGTCTGCAGATTTCAGAACAAACTTGAACATGTTATGTAAACCTTAAATGTGTTTACTATATAAAATGATTGAACACCTTCCTCACTGATTGATAGTCAAGTTAACATGAGATGTGTTTAAAGCACTTAGCACAATGCCTGGCATATAGGAAGCTCTTAAAGAAAGTTCATTTAGGACTTACAGCATCAATCTGATTACTGTTAGTGAAAAGGAAGGTCCATGGCTTCTTTTTTAAATACATATATTTTCCATGTCATCACCTTTGCTATTTTATTGTTTTACCTTATTTTTTATTTATTTTTTTATCCTCACCCAATGACATTTTTCGATATTTTGTTCAGATAGAGTGGGAGGGAGGGAGAGAGAGAGAGAGAGAGAGAGAGAGAGAGAGAGAGAGAGAGAGAGAGAAACATCGACGTGAAAGGGACACATCGAGTGGGTGCCATCCACACGACCCAACCAGGGCTGAGGACAAACTGCAACTGAGGTAGTGCCCTTAGCGGGAACAGAACCTGGGCCTCTCCAGACCACAGGCCAATGCTTTAACTGCTGAACCAAACCGGCCAGGGCTATTTTTTATTTTTTTATCCTTACTGGAAGATATTTTTCTATTTTCTCTTCAGGTAGAGAGAGAGGGAGGAAAAGGGAGTGAGAGAGAAACATCAAAGTGAGAGGGTCACATCAACTGGTTGCCTCCCATACGACCCCGACCAGGGCCGGGGACAAATCGCAACTGAGGTACGTGCCCTTGGCTAGAATTGAACCTGGGACTCATTCGTCCACAGGTTGATGCTGTACCGCTGAGCCAAACTGGCCAGGGCGCTATTCTATCGTTTTAAAAACGATCTGTTGACACCTGTACAAGGGTATCTTCATGATCCAGGATGATGTTTTATTTCCTGGGCTGCAACCAGTTTCATATTTTTTATGTAGTACCATTTAAACTGGGAAATTTCTGCTGTCTCTAGAACAAGACCTCCACCTCTTCCTGTCTCATATAATTATCCCCGCCCCAAACCTGGGCATTTTTATTTGGCAATGGATGGCAAATTTCATAGCAACTGAAAGGCAGAACAATTTATTGAAATTAAATTGAGGAATTCTTGTGTGGACTGCTGGTCAACAGCTCTGCTTAAGAATCGGGAGATTATTTTGATATGGGAGAAGAAATTGCCTTCCTGACTGCTCTTTGTGTCCAGCAGAAACAAGAGACAACACCAATACAGTAGTCACCACTTATCTAAGGTTTCACTTTCTGTGGTTTCAGTTACCCACAACGATGGTCTGAAAATATTAAATGGACATTCCAGGAATAAGTAATTCATAAATTTTAAGTTAGTTGCCATTCCGAGTAGCATGATGAAATCTCACACTGTCCCACCATTTCCCACCCAGGAAGTGAATCATCCCTTGGTTCAATGCGTTTACCTCATTTCTTCACATCATATTTTCTCACATCATCACTAGAAGAAGGAATAATGTAATGCAATAAAATATTTTGTTGTTAGTCTCTTAGCTTGCCTAATTTATAAATATTAAGCATTATTATAGATATATGTATGTACATGAAAAACAATATATGTAGGGTTCGGTACCATCCAGGTTTCCAGGCATTGATGGGGATCTTGGAGTGTTTCCCATATAGACGAGGTGGGGACTACTGTAGTGGGAAGAGCTTTAGCCTGGCAGAGACCTCACACAAAGTCCTAATTTGGTTCTACTTATTCCAATAGCACCATTTCTGTGGTCCTACTTTCCTGTTAAACATGAGGATGTTGAACTCAAACAAATTTCAATTACAGGATTCTAATTTGTTTGTATACTTCCTGCTGTCCTAATATTTTAAAGGATTGTGTGTAATATGCATGTTAATATAGTAATTATAATTCTACCTTTTTATAATTCTTCTATACCTGGAAACTGGTAGCTTCCTTGAGTAACTTAATTGAATGTTACAAGGTTTGGGGGAGAAAGAGAAGGTTTCTTGGTGGACGGATACATTTTTTTTTTAATCCTCACCTGAGGATATTTTTCTATGTATCTTCAGATAGTGTGGGAGGAAGAGAGAAGGAGAAAAAGGGAGAGGGAGAGAAATAGCAACATGAAAGAGACACATTGACTGGTTGCCTTTCGCACTACCCTGACCTGGGCCGGGAATGAACCGCAACCGAGGTATGTGCCCTTGGCCAAAATCAAACACAAGACTCATTGGTCTGCGGGCCAGCACTCTACCACTGAGTCAAACCAGCAGGGTTGAACTGATACATTAAGATTGCAGCCCTGGCCAGTTTGGCTCAGTGGTTAGAGCATCGGCCTGCGGTCCAGAGAGACCTGGGTTCGGTTCCTGCTAAGGGCGCGTACCTCAGTTGCAGTTTGTCCCCGGCCCTGGTTGGTTGTGCGGGTGGCAGCCACTCGATGTGTCCCTTTCAGTCGACATCTCTCTCTCTCTCTCTCTTTCTCTCTCTCTCTCTCTTCCTCCCACTCAATCTGAACAAAAAATGAAAAAATGTCCTCAGGTGAGGATAAAAAAAAAGATTGCATGTGAGTTCGGCCATTGTGGCTCAGTGGTTGAGCATCGACCCATGCACCAAGAGGTCTCTGGTTCCATTCCTGGTCAGGATACATGCCCAGGTTGTGGGCCCAATCCACAGTCGGGGGCATGCAGGAGGCAGCCAGTCGATGTTCTCTCTCATCGATGTTTCTATCTCTCTCTCCCTCTTTTTTCCTCTCTCTCTAAAATCAATAAAGGAAAAAAAATTAAAAAAAAAAAGATTGCGTGTGACATATATACTCACTGGCACATCCATGTTTACTCACCTGGTCCTAGTGGGTATATGCACTATGGGATACTACGCTTGTTGATACGCTCTTTTAAAACAGTTGACTATAAGTATTTCATAAAGGATTTAAAAAACACTGATGCCATTTAGTGTTTCAAAGAAGGGATGATTGTGAGGAAATGTTTATAAAGAAGATAAACTACAGGGATCTTTTCTTAAATATCAAATATCAAAATTCCTAATGGGACTGTCAATCATTTTTTATTATCAGTTAGAGAAAGCTATACAAAAAAGATCAGTAGAAACATATAATGATTATAAGGTAGATATACTTGTGACATACTAAGCGAAAAGTAAAAGGATAAGAATTATGTAGTATGATACTATTTAGATGGTAATTTTAAAAAGATATATGTGTTGATTTTGAATATATGATTTTTTATTAGTTAATTTCTAGGATGCCCATTCTTAAATACAAAGTGAGCCCTGAATGATTTGGCTCAGCAGTTAGAGCATCGGCCTTCAGACCAAAGGGTCATGGGTTCAATTCCCAGTCAAGGGCACGTACTTGGGTTACAGGTTCGATCCCCATCCCCAGTTGAGGTTATGAGGCAGGCAGCCAATCAATGTGTCTCTCTCACATCAATGTTTCTCCTCTCTCCCCCTCTCTTCCTTCCACTCTATCTAAAATTTAATGGAAAAATATTCTCAAGTGAGGATTAACAATAAAGAAAGAAGAAAGAAAGAAAGAAAGAAAGAAAGAAAGAAAGAAAGAAAGAAAGAAAGAAAGAAAGAAAGAGAAAGAAAGAAAGAGAGAAAGAGAGAAAGAAAGAAAGAAAGAAAGAAGAAAGACAAAGCTATAATGAACATTCTTATGCAAAATCCATATGTATGTGTATAGATATATATATTTAGGTAACTTCCCAGAAGTAAAATTGCAAAGGTAGAAAAGTATGTGTATTTTTTTATTTAGAGAAATGATAAATTATTTTAAAAAGATAAAAAATCAAATTAAATCGCTAGTTTTGTGTAGGTGAAGCTAGTGGATGTAATAAAATTTATTTTATCCAGATGTCCCCACTACTGTTCGAACCACACCATCAACTTCACGTCAACCAGGTTCAGTATCTTTATCCTACTTACATTACTAAGAACTTCATATGGTGATGGATAAAAAATAGTTATGTGTTAATTAGTATTTCTTTAATTATAAACAAAGTTGTACCTTTTTTGGGGGGCAAACTTATTTATTTATGTTCTTTGCTCAGTTTTCTATTAGGTTTCTAAAAATAATTTTTTACTTGTCAGAACTCATTGTAAATTAAAACCCTTTTAACATGAAGTGAACATTTTTTTCTAGGTTTTTTTTCTTTGCCTAGTTTTACTAATGAGTTTTCTTTTAAGATTTTACATGGTTGGATATAAATTGCGTTTTATAACTTTAAATTATATAAGTAGTATAAAAATATAAATTTGTAAAATTTCATATACTGCAAAAGTATATAGAGTAAAAGATTAATCTTCTTGTATACAAAGTAATAAAAGACAATGGTCTGAATTCAAGACTACTCTATCCAGCAAGGCTATCATTCAAAACTGAAGGAGAAATAAAGAGCTTCATAAACCAAAAAAAGCTAAAGGAATTTACCACCACCAACCTAGCACTGCAAGAAATGCTAAAGAAACTGTTGTAAGAAGATGATGAAACAGAGAAAGAGAGGGGAGAGCACAGGCATAAAATTAAAAATGGCAACTAATAAGTATCTATCAATAATAACTTTAAATGTAAATGGCTTAAATGGTTCAATCATAAGACATAAGATAGCTGATTGGATAAGAAAACACAACCTACATATATGCTGTCTACAAGAGACCCACCTCACAACAAAAGACTCAGCAGAATGAAAGTGAAGGGATGGAAAAAAATTTTCGAGCAAAAGGAAATTTAAAAAAAGCAGGTATAGCAATACTCATATCTGATAAGATAGACTTCAAAGCAAGGACCATAAAAAGGGACAA